GGAGTGTTGCAGAATATCAATACCATTATGGACTGATTTGGTTAAACAATCTGTTTCTATGCTATAGGTACTTTAATTAGTGGAGCTAAAAGGCAATTGGTCATCACCTCAACCAAATTACAGAAAAAGAAAACAGCCAAAGTAAAAGGCAATGATAATTGGGAATTATGCCCCACTCCAAAACTGACCAACTCAGCAAAAACAATAGAATCTCAATGGTATTAGGGAAATCCAAAGATAATACAAGGACATTTCTGTCAAACTTCTTAGTTTCAGTTTTTGAGCCCATACTTAGTTTAGTTGAATCCATTCATAGTATTTCAGAGGTTAAACCATTCTGGTATTGCTTCAACAATGGAGTAGTAGAAAAGTCACTCGGGTAAGGCCTGTCCACAAGAAACAAGTATGGATACTGGTTGATGGCACAGCATTTGCAACTCCTCATAACAAAGCAATCAATCAGTCCCCATATTTCGTAATACTGGGACAAGCACCAAGCAACGGCCAGCACGGACATCCCAGGGCCACTTCTGACTAGAAATTTAAATCAGACAACAAATATTGTAGGTAGGTGCACTTATTTAACTGTCTCCCAAATCATGTTCAGCACTGACAAAGAGGAGTAAGATGGAATCAATGTAGCTCTAATAAAGTTTGACACCAACGCTAAAGAAACCTCCTTTGTCAATACCTCACACACCACCACCTACATTAATTGGCCAATCGCAGTAACATCTGCACTAAAGCAACTTCCCAATTCACAACCTCCATCACCTAGAGATAATTTGACAGCAGCCAAAGAACATCATCTCTCAAGTTTCCTTGGATCACACAACAACATCTTGACTGTGTGGGAAATTTATCTTTAATCATTCACTGTTATCAGTTTAAGATAGGTTTAACCATCTCCTTCAAGTGTAAACAGGGATGGCAATAAGTTACCTTGCCAACATTATCCACAGCAATTTGGAAGGCCAAAAGTATGTTGCCCTTTATTGAAGCAGGATAAGAATACACAAGCAAGGAAGTTTTGTTTCAATTGTGTAGAGCACTGGTGAGATTTCAGCTGGAGTACTGTGCATAATTCCAGCTGCCTCAGCTTCCCAAAATATTGGGCTCAATTTCAGATTTATAAACTCAGGACCGACAAGCAAGTCATCATTTGTAACTGGACTGATGACAATAGTGTTTGTAAAACAAACATCACAAGACATTAACAGTTCCAAATGAATCTGTGGCTCTTAAAATCTAATTGGAAATGGTTTGTTTAATGAACATTATCTGACGTGTCACAAAAAAATTTCCTTTCAATCAGTTAAGATAGATCCAGTGCAAACCCAAATCAACACTCAAGTTGGTGCAAAAATATTAACTCCGATGTCAGTCATGCTACAGATTATTTCAAAGCAATATGGTGAATGGTCATCAACAATTGATAGGAAACAGTATCAGCAGAAAGAGGTTCCAAGTAGAAGATATAGAAACTCAGCCACATTTTTAGAAATGGTCAGTCTCCTAATCTCTGCCATTAGTGTAATGTGGTCCAAAAGGTAAATAAATCAAGGGAATGCTTCACAAATCCCAATTACTTGATATAATGTCATCCACAACTAAAAACTGAAGTAGATTTATAAACAAAAATTGAGGTCAAACAAAAATCAGTTCAGGTAGGTTCTTACTCCAATGACATGTGGAGAACAAAGCAACATACCAAAACAAATACAGTAACCAAAGAAATCATTTGTAATGGGCAATGGGTTAAATGGGCATTAATACATTTGTATGGGTGATAATAGGCCATTTAGCTTAACATCTATTAAATGTTTACAGTCTATTATAAAGGATCTAATAGACTATGTGAAATGCATAAAATAATCAAACACGATCAGCATGGTTTCCTGAAGGGGAAATCATGTCCAACAAGTTTACTAGATTTCTTTGAGAAGCTAACAAGCAAAATAGCGAAAAGGGGAACCAGTAGATGTAACATGCTTGGATTCCCAGGTGCTCGATAAGATACCACACACAAGGTTGCTTAACAGCCTATGCTGTTGGGTGCTCAGGAGTAGTATATTAGCAATAGTAGAGTAGCTAATCGATAGAAGACAGAGTTGGGAAAAAGGGGGCATTTTCAGGACGGCAACCTATAAGGAGAAGTGCTACAGATCAGACTGGGGTCACAATTGTTTACAATATATATTAATGACTTGGATGTGGAATATGAATATACTACAGCCAAGTTTACAGACGACAAAGCTAGGTGGAAAGATGAGTGATAAGGATGGTAAAGTCCAAAGCGAGATATAATCAGATTATGAGTTGCAAAAACGTGGCAGATAGAGTGTAATGTAAGAAAATGAGAGATTATGTACTTTGGAAGGAAGAATAGAAGACCTGAATACTTCTGAAATAAAGACAAGACTACAGAAAGCTACAGCCCAGAAGTATGTGTGGATCCTTATACATAAATAACAAAAAGTGAAGATAAAAGTTTAGCAGGTAATAGGGAAGGCAAGGGGAGTCCTGGCCTGTATTTCAAAGGAAATGGAGTATTGAAAATAGGGAAGTCTCAATGAAATAAAAGACATTCTAGTTGAGCACAGAATAGCTAGAATGCTTTTGTTCAACTGATCTACAGAAAGATATACTGGCATTGCAAGCAGGCCAAGAGAAGGATCACATATTTGATCTTGGGTCTAGGGGAGGGATTTTCTTATGAAGAGAATTTGTGTAGGTTTAGCCTACTCATTCAAATTTAGAGGCACAGGATCTATTTGAAACATAAAAGATACTTAGCGGGTATGACAAGGCAGATGTGGAAAAATTACTTTGCCCTGTTGGACAGTCTAGAATCAGAAAGCATAATCTCAGAGTAAGGGGTCGCCCATTTAAGACAGATGTGGGGAAATTTTGCTCCTCAGACCGTGATGAATCTGTGCAATTCTTCACCAGAGAGCTGGAGAGGCTTAGTTGTTAAGCATATTCAAGGCTACAACTGACAGATTTTTAATCAGCAAGGGAATCAGGGATTATGGGGAAAAGACAGGAATGGGAGTTGAGATTTATCAGATCAGTCATGGTCTCACTGAATGGGGGGGAATGGCCTACTTCTGTTCTACGCCTGATGGTCTTATGGAAGCAAACTGAACTGTTTTGTTTGGAATAGATATTTCAATTACTAAATTTATTGAGGTACAGGCCCCAATGGGTAATGGTCAAGATATTAGCATCCAAGGGGATCGTCAAATTCAATTAAGGCAAAACTTCTGACTTTAAATGACTGAAAAAATGGTAGTTTTCAGAAAAATATAATCAGAATCTAAAGGGACAGGCATGCACAACACGGATCTGACTCCAATCCCATATACGTGGTGAGTTCAGCAACCACAGACTACCATTGGAAAACCATGGATTGCTAATGTTGTTGAAAGAACAAAAACCAGCATTTCATTGACAAAATAATGAAGATGACCACAGTTGAAGTGTCAACTTTCTGTACGCAAAGCGGTTTTTAAACCATTAAATGGAAAATCTAAGTATCTCAAGGATGGAATAACAAGTGAAAAAGCATCCTGTTGGAAAGAAACATTTACACTGTAACTAGCAATATTCAAGGGCTTACACATAACCAAAACACTTCCAAATATTTAAGCACACCAACTAGTTAACTAAACAACTTGAACCAATGTTCCATTATTCATAGATCATGTGGACTTCTTAAATCTGATTAAGAATCAAGAAATTGTATCCACATGTTGAGCACAAAGCCATCACTAAAGTTGATTTTTATAGACTTTCCTCTCACCCCTATACTTGAAGATCAGGAGTATCTCAGCAAAACTAACATCTTATATACTCTAGCTATTTTCCCTTTAACAAAGAGCACAAAACTGGGAATTCGGGAAAACAATCTAAACAACCCCAAAGTGTCAAACAAAATCAATCTCTCGCCCACCTGCATTTTTTTCGCTGTTAAAGAAAGATAGGGTACAACAATCAGGGCGGGTTTATTTCTCCCTACCATGGGGTGATTCATAAAGGAAATTAAAAGGTTAGTTCTCAGGCCGTCCTGCACAACAGATTGAAACGTGTCAACATTACGTCTCGTGTTTTCAGGGAACGGTGTTTGGGGGAGGGGAAGAAAAGGGAAGGCGGAATAAAACAATGCTTGTATTTAATTTCAAGAGAACACAAGCGAATTCACAATTTTTGAGATTTCTACACTCAGGATACTTTTCATGCCATTGCCGAGAGAAGGCTCTGGAGCACCCAGACACTTTGTGGAGCCGGGACAACTTTGTTTACAGTCTTCCGTGGCCAATTCTGGAACTCTGGCCGTTCATACAAAGATAGACATTCTCAGGACGGTTAAACCATTGAACGCGGGCGTCCAAGGACGTGAAAATAAAGTTAGAAATGAGGCCCATTAGAAAGGGAATACAAAACGATTTGCAAAACGAAATCCACACAAAAGATGATGCGGAGGAGAAGATAATGTAGAGAGAAGGGGAGTGAAACCTTAACCTTCTGCTTTATAACACGTGTTCAGTACGGACAGCAAACTTCCGGGTTGTTTTCTAGCTGTGTAATGGTGACTACAGGTGAGAGTGGCCGAAACCCGAAGACTTTAAACAATCGAGAGAAAAGAACAGAAACTGAAATGAAATAAACCGTGGCACCCCCTAACCCCCCCGCTCTCTCTCTCACTCTCAAACACACACACACACAAACTCCAAACAGCCAGGCCCAGCCGCCTCATGCCGGATATTGTCCTAACATCGCCGCCCGATTCCTTCTTTTGTCTTTAAGTTAACCATATAAATAACAGAAATTAAGGGCGACGAGATACGCATCCCGGCTAAGGTCCCGAAGCCGCTTACACGGTAACGGAAATTTTAAAAAAACTGACCGACCGAGCGGCGCCTCGCGTTCACGTCAGGAACAGGAAGGGGGCCATTTCTGTTTTTAAAAATAAAATGACTTCTTCCCTCAGATTTTACCTCAAACTCAGTCTAGTTCCCTGCCGATAAGTTCCCCGATAGATAGAGATGTAGGTTGTGTGACGGGTGAGGATGGAGAGCGGCTCCGGTGACTACCAGCGGCGCTGAGCTGAAGAGACAGTGCGCGCACGGCCCGCCCGCTAACCAATCGCCGCCATGTCAGGCGCTGCCGCCATCATCCATCACGTGACCCCCAGCCGGGCGCCTTCTCCAACCGCCCGCTCGGGCTCCGGACTGCTGACCGTTTCACGCCCACGCCGTACCACCGGAAGCAGATGACCCCGTAAAAGAGTTAAAAGATGTGGCATAATTTTGTTGAATTCACGTTTGTTTTTTTTTCGCTCTCCCCAAATCACCGGCGGCTACAGTCGGTCACGTGACCGCGCGCCCACTTTACCCACCCCCCTTCACAGCCCAGCCAATCCCCACCCGCCCTGACGTCAGCACCACCAATGGGAAGCGAGTGCGCAATTCAAAATCACCGGAGCCGAAGGGGCGGGACCCGTAGGTCGAGGGCGGGGTTTTCCTCTGATGGACAGCCTGCGTAGCCGGGCCCGGTCTCAACTTTTATCCAATCAAAGGAGGTCTTACCGAAACTTTAATGACGTTCGGCTGGCCGGTAGAACATCCATTTAAATAGTTTATAAAGGGGGAGTAGAGTCACTGAATCTTCTGCTCGTTTAAAAATTATTTGTTTTTCAAACGAGAGTTATATTTGAATCATTCTGCCGCTTCTTTTTCATTGACTTGTCTGCAGGAAAATGGGTATAATTTTCATTCTTCTTTTTTTGTTTTATGTAAATATAGACTGCCACTGTTTTATGAGATAGTAAAAACTGCCGATGCTGGAGTCAGAGATAACACAAAAGGGTCCCGACCCGAAACGTCAATTTTTCTGCTCCGCTGATGCTGCCTGGCCTGCTGTGTTCTTCCAGCTCCACACTGTGTCATTGTGTTATGTCTGTATGCTGCGACCTCTAGTGGTAGTGGGCGGTGCTGCGGGTTGGTGGCCGGTATTTCGGGTAAATACGGTATTTCCGTAAAGATGGCGGACGGGCCGCCGCAGCGCTGAAAGGCCCGGAACCGGTTTCCTGTCCGAGAGAGGCCGCCCCGTCGCTCGCTGGGATATCACAGCGACATGTTTTAATTCTTCAGGGAAAGTTAAGGCTGCGGCTCAGAAGGCGGCGAAGAAAAGTGGCGGAGGCGAGTCCGCGGTGGCCAAGGAGAACCAGCAGCTGGTCATGAGTGAGGTGCGTTTGGTCGGGGAGAGGTAGGATGTGGCGGGGTAAGGCCAGTGGCCCCTTCTTTATTTAAAACCCACATTTGGGGACTTAAGGCGTGGGTTAGTACGCTGTTCCCCACCCACCCTTCGAGTAAAAAGTGGCCTTGGATGTTGCTTCTCAACCAATAAATAACTTATTTCAAATCCACTTCTCAAGCCTCTCCAAAAAGCGAATCAAAGGCAGCATTAAGGCAAGCTGCTGTGTCTCAGCTGGCTGACATTTCGTTCTAAGCTTGTAATGTATGTTAACGTGACCTCTTTTAAATAAATATTTGCTAACCACGGTTAAAATCAGAAGCCATCATTTAAAAACAATTTAGGAAAGTAATATTCTGTTGTTTGTGGATAGTGTTGGCTTTTATTGCCCAGATCCCGAAGAGGTGAGTATTTTCTCCATGAGACGCTGGCACAGGTTCCTGTGTGGCACTGCGGCGGAGTCACTGCAGTTGTATTGGTACCGGGGAGATACACAGCAAGTGCGTTGAGCTGTGCTGTCAATGTGTTTGCGACGTATTAAGAGGGAATCTCTCATCATAACTCTTCAATCGTTCCCTTTTGCCCCTCCAGGTGATCTACTAGCTGTGTGATTTTTTTTTTTTCATGTGAAAATTGCGGAATGTTGAGGAGTGGAAATAAAACACAAACATTTCTTAACTGATCTGGTGACCAGTGTTGCCTCCCACCCACGGCCTCCAACCTCATCGTTCCCCAACCTCGCACTGCCCGCTTCTATCTCCTTCCCAAAATCCACAAACCTGAATGCCCTGGTCGACCCATTGTCTCCGCCTGCTCCTGCCCCACCGAACTGATCTCCAACTATCTAGACTCCATTTTCTCCCCCTTGGTCCAGGAACTCCCTACCTATGTCCGTGACACCACCCACGCCCTCCACCTCCTCCAGAACTTCCAATTCCCCGGTCCCCAACACCTCATCTTTACCATGGACGTCCAGTCCCTCTACACCTGCATTCCCCATGCAGATGGCCTTAAGGCCCTCCGCTTCTTCCTGTCCCGCAGGCCCGACCAGTCCCCCTCCACTGACACCCTCATCCGCTTAGCTGAACTCGTCCTCACACTCAACAACTTCTCTTTCAATTCCTCCCACTTCCTACAGACAAAGGGGGTAGCCATGGGTACCCGCATGGGCCCAAGCTACGCCTGCCTCTTTGTAGGTTACGTGGAACAATCCCTCTTCCGTACCTACACCGGCCCTAAACCCCACCTCTTCCTCCGTTACATTGATGACTGTATCGG